TTTGAAAAAAAAAAACTAATTTTTGACGTCAATTTTTTTCACTTTTTTTAACCATATTTTTTTCAGAATTCTTTTTTTACGTAAATTGAACTTCCGCGCAAAACTACTTTTTGCCGACTTTTGAGCCTACTTTTTTAGGGCTGACTTGACTTCTAGGGGACTTTTTTTCTAAGCCTGTTTTTGAGGTCTGCTTTCTAATGACTGAGCCTACTTTTTGAGGACTGAGCCTACTTTTCGAGGGCTGAGCCTACTTTTTGAGGGCTGAGCCTACTTTTTTAGGGCTGACTTGACTTCTAGGGGACTTTTTTTCTAAGCCTGTTTTTGAGGTCTGCTTTCTAAGGACTGAGCCTACTTTTTGAGGACTGAGCCTACTTTTCGAGGGCTGAGCCTACTTTTTGAGGGCTGAGCCTACTTTTTTAGGGCTGACTTGACTTCTAGGGGACTTTTTTTCTAAGCCTGTTTTTGAGGTCTGCTTTCTAAGGACTGAGCCTACTTTTTGAGGACTGAGCCTACTTTTCGAGGGCTGAGCCTACTTTTTGAGGGCTGAGCCTACTTTTTGAGGGCTGAGCCTACTTTTTTAGGGCTGACTTGACTTTTAGGGGACTTTTTTTCTAAGCCTGTTTTTGAGGTCTGCTTTCTAAGGACTGAGCCTACTTTTTGAGGACTGAGCCTACTTTTCGAGGGCTGAGCCTACTTTTTGAGGACTGAGCCTACTTTTCGAGGGCTGAGCCTACTTTTTGAGGGCTGAGCCTACTTTTTTAGGGCTGACTTGACTTCTAGGGGACTTTTTTTCTAAGCCTGTTTTTGAGGTCTGCTTTCTAAGGACTGAGCCTACTTTTTGAGGACTGAGCCTACTTTTCGAGGGCTGAGCCTACTTTTTGAGGGCTGAGCCTACTTTTTGAGGGCTGAGCCTACTTTTTGAGGGCTGAGCCTACTTTTTTAGGGCTGACTTGACTTTTAGGGGACTTTTTTTCTAAGCCTGTTTTTGAGGTCTGCTTTTTAAGGACTGAGCGTCCTTTTTGAGGTCTGAGCCTACTTTTAGAGGGCTGAGCCTACTTTTTGAGGACTGAGCCTACTTTTCGAGGGCTGAGCCTACTTTTTGAGGGCTGAGCCTACTTTTTTAGGGCTGACTTGACTTCTAGGGGACTTTTTTTCTAAGCCTGTTTTTGAGGTCTGCTTTCTAAGGACTGAGCCTACTTTTTGAGGACTGAGCCTACTTTTCGAGGGCTGAGCCTACTTTTTGAGGGCTGAGCCTACTTTTTGAGGGCTGAGCCTACTTTTTTAGGGCTGACTTGACTTTTAGGGGACTTTTTTTCTAAGCCTGTTTTTGAGGTCTGCTTTCTAAGGACTGAGCCTACTTTTTGAGGACTGAGCCTACTTTTCGAGGGCTGAGCCTACTTTTTGAGGACTGAGCCTACTTTTCGAGGGCTGAGCCTACTTTTTGAGGGCTGAGCCTACTTTTTTAGGGCTGACTTGACTTCTAGGGGACTTTTTTTCTAAGCCTGTTTTTGAGGTCTGCTTTCTAAGGACTGAGCCTACTTTTTGAGGACTGAGCCTACTTTTCGAGGGCTGAGCCTACTTTTTGAGGGCTGAGCCTACTTTTTGAGGGCTGAGCCTACTTTTTTAGGGCTGACTTGACTTTTAGGGGACTTTTTTTCTAAGCCTGTTTTTGAGGTCTGCTTTCTAAGGACTGAGCCTACTTTTTGAGGACTGAGCCTACTTTTCGAGGGCTGAGCCTACTTTTTGAGGACTGAGCCTACTTTTCGAGGGCTGAGCCTACTTTTTGAGGGCTGAGCCTACTTTTTTAGGGCTGACTTGACTTCTAGGGGACTTTTTTTCTAAGCCTGTTTTTGAGGTCTGCTTTCTAAGGACTGAGCCTACTTTTTGAGGACTGAGCCTACTTTTCGAGGGCTGAGCCTACTTTTTGAGGGCTGAGCCTACTTTTTGAGGGCTGAGCCTACTTTTTTAGGGCTGACTTGACTTCTAGGGGACTTTTTTTCTAAGCCTGTTTTTGAGGTCTGCTTTCTAAGGACTGAGCCTACTTTTTGAGGACTGAGCCTACTTTTCGAGGGCTGAGCCTACTTTTCGAGGGCTGAGCCTACTTTTTGAGGGCTGAGCCTACTTTTTGAGGGCTGAGCCTACTTTTTTAGGGCTGACTTGACTTCTAGGGGACTTTTTTTCTAAGCCTGTTTTTGAGGTCTGCTTTCTAAGGACTGAGCCTACTTTTTGAGGACTGAGCCTACTTTTCGAGGGCTGAGCCTACTTTTCGAGGGCTGAGCCTACTTTTCGAGGGCTGAGCCTACTTTTTGAGGGCTGAGCCTACTTTTTGAGGGCTGAGCCTACTTTTTGAGGGCTGACTTGACTTCTAGGGGACTTTTTTTCTAAGCATGTTTTTTAGGTCTGCTTTTTAAGGGCTGAGCCTATTTTTTGGCCACTGCAAATATAACTTTCAGGGGGTAAATTTGTAGGTGAATATGTATCAAAAAATCGAAAAAACCTTTCAAAAAATTCACGTAAAATATAAAATTTTCACGAAAATATTATTTTTCTGGAAATTTGTAAAAAAGAAATCCGGCCACTCAACACTTTTAAAAAATAAAAAATGTCACGCAAAAAGTGAAAAAATCGCGTAAAAATTGAAAAATTGAGTGGCACCCCTCAACTCATATAGCGCCTTTTTTTCTTTGATACAGTTGAAAACTTCCAAGGTTTTCCCTTTTTTTTCAACTCTAACTATTTTCGTGACCTATACGTAGTTTTTCATTGAAATTTTGAGAACATTCTGACTTTGTTTGGGTTTATGACCCTTTCCGTGACTGAACTCTTTGCTTTATACCAAACACAAATTTTCAGAAAATCGCTATTCGAAACCCATACGGTCTTCCAAAAACGTTCCGTATCACAACATCTCATCCGGAAATTGTGAAAATCACCGATCAATTGATGTCGGTTCCCCCAATGGGTAAACTTCCGTGTGAGATGTTCTTTGTCAGAAATTCCCATCATCATCAGAATATTGAAGTAGGTCTTATTTCTATTTGAAATCTAAAGAATTCTCCGTTTTTCAGACACTTCTCTACATTTCGGATGCTGAGACGTATGTTCAGGAAGAAGCATATTCCCTGACTTTAGACTTTGAAGCTTCATAGATCTCAAAATTTTTCAAATAGTTTTTTTATAATTTGTCATATTTCTATTCCGGTTTGTACTGTACTCAAAAAAATCGAATGAAAGCGAATAAAAAATTCTTTATTGTATGACTCTTTTGGCTCGAAATGAAATGACGACTCAACCGCTTGAAGGCTCGACTCAAACCCGCTGATGCTCGATTTTTGAAAGATGCTCGTGTTTTGAATAAATGAAAAAGAATAACAATGTGAATGTGAAAAGTGAAAAAGAAGAAGAAAGAAGTGAAGAATCAGCAAGATGCAGTGTCTCGCTTTTACTTCTTTCCGTAGCTGTTTTGGGCGTGTCCGGTGCCTCCGGAGTATCCACCGGTACCGGCAGAGTAGCTGGCTCCTGGAGCATTGGATGGGTTGTGTGATGGGGCAGAAGCGTAGTTCTCCTGAAATGAGGAAGTTCTAGAATTGTTCTTTCAACTAGAGTAGTAGCCAATTACCTTTGGAGCGTTTCTGTCTGGGCATGGGCAGTAAGCGGCATAGTCTCCGATCTTTCCATCGACTCCCGGCTTTCCTTCCTCTCCTGGTGGTCCACCTGGTCCTTGGAATCCGTTGATTCCGTCTGGTCCTGGGGCTCCTGGTGCTCCAACTGGTCCATCCTTTC